GGTCCCGCCGGCCCCGGCTGCCCCCCCGGCGCTCCCCCCACCGCTGAGGACCCCTCCGTGGCCCCCTCGCCGTCCACGCGTGGACCGTCCCCTCATGGCCACGCCGAGCCCCGCCCTGTCCCCACGGGGCGCAGGCGACGCCACCTCCGTCCCCGAGCACCCGACGGCCATGTCCCCGCGGTGTCTGGAGCTCCACCACCTCCGCGCCCAGGAGCCGGTGGCCACGTCCCCGGAGCTGGGGACACCCCTGGCACCTGTGTCCCCACAGGGGCAAACCCACGGGGGACGGTCCCCGGAGCATCCCCAGGGCCCTTTCCTCCTCCCTGCCTCAGTTTCCCCTCCCGCAGGGGCTTGGCTCTGAGGGGACCCGCACATTGGGACAGCCAGGGTGACACCCGTGTGGCCAAGCACCCACCACCCAGGAGCGCCCATAGGTGTCAACCGTGGGGTTGCGCGACAGGATGCCACCATCGGTGGCAAAGGCCACGGTGACAATGGGGCACCCACAGGTGTCACCACGGGGACGGCCGGGCCGGGCCACGCTAAAGGGTGACGGCCACGCGAAAGAGCTGTCCCCGGCGGGCTGAGCACCGGCGGGCTCGTGACACAGGGACACGCGGCTGCGCCCGCTCCGTCGCCTGCCATCTCCATCAGCCTCGGCGGGGACAGCAGGACGCGATGGCAAGTGACAGCCGCCGCCAGCGCCGGGGGGGAGCGAAGGACGCGGGGCCGGGGGGGGGACACGCAGCAGGGATGGGGGGGTAGGACACACAGGCGTAGAGCAGCCTGGGGGCTGCTCCCAGTGCCGCCCGCTGCAGCGGTTTGGTGGCCCTGGGTGACGACACCAAGGTGGCATCAAACCTGGTGGCACCTATGGGGTCCATGGCGTCATCGTCCCCCCCCAAAAAACCCCACTCTGGGGGCATGTCCCCTTCCAGTGCCACGCCCGTGCAGTGTCCCCAAACCCCAGTGGACACACGGGGGACAGACCCCAGCCCCCCAACCCAAAAGAGGAGGGGACCAAGGGGACACTTGGCAGCCCATCGATCGCCCCCGCGTCCCCCCCCAGCTCCCGCAGAGGCTTTAATTTAATCAGCGTGCAAAAATCAATTAGTCAGCTTTAAGAAGGCAATTATTCCTGGGGGCTTAACGAGGATTGGGGAGGCAGAGTATTTTGGGGTGGGGGTGCTGCCAGCCCCGCATGTCCCCCCAAGCTGTCACCGTCATGTCACCGGCTGCTTCCCTGGCTCTTTTCTCCCTCTCTGTGTCGTTCCCCCCCCCACTCCTTGTTATCTTTCTTTTTTAACGAGCACCTAAAAATACGCCTCACCGAGGTCACGGGCTGCGTGAGTCACCCACCGGCACGGTGCTGCGGTGGCCTGGGTGGGCAGTGGGCTCTGTGTGGGGAGGCGGTGGCCGTGGTGGGGACACAGGGCGGGGGGGGTACAGGCACACCCCAGTTCCATCAGGGCACTTGTGTCACCTGGAGGGTCAGGGGACATCCTTGTGGTGGGGCCACAGCCCCAGGTCACCTCGTTGCCACAGGCCATTGTGTCTCCATGGCACGGCCACCACTCCAGGTCACCTCACCAGCCTGGGTCACCTTGTCCGCATGGCATGGCTACCACCCCAGGACACCTCAACTCCCCAAGCCATCATGTTCCAGTCCCAGGCCACCTCACCACCACAGTCCACTGTGTCCCCATGGCATGGCCACCACCCCAGACCACCTCTCCACCCTGGGCCACCATGTCCCCATGGCATGGCCACCGCCCCAGACCACCATGTCCCCAGGCCATGTCCCCACAGCCCAGTTGCAGAGCCGGGATGGCTTCAATGCTACCCTGGGGCAGCAGCACCCTATGGATGGGGACAGCACACCAGGTGACCCTGGCTGGAGACCCCAAGGTGCTCCCTGTCCCTGTGCCCAACCCCTGCAAGAGGAGGGGGTGCAGCGCAGCCCCCCAAGCAGGCTCCATCCACCTGGGGATGGACAACTAATCAGCAAACCTTCAAAGGGCCATGTTTGGGAGCGCAGGAGGGGGAAAAGGGACAAAGCCGGGAGGTGACAGCAGTGGCAGCAGTGGTGGCAGCGTCTGCCGTGGCAGCGGTGGCTGCAGTGGTTGCGGCGGCGGCTGCGGCGGCGGCTCCGCTCGACGCCAGCCGCCGCCGTTCCTCTGCAAAGGTTAAGCAAACAGCAGCTCCCGCAGAATCGATGCGCGGCCGAGCCCACGGCTGTTTGCTTTGGCAGCATGACGTGGGGAGGTGGGTGGGCGACGCCGAGGGGACGCCGGCGGCCAGTGGAGGGGCATCCCGATCGATGCTCCGGGGGCGCAGGTTTGGCCTGGGGGGTGGCTGTAACCCCCCCCCCGCTCCCCGCCGCTCACTGGGGAGCTCATTAAGGAGGATTTGGAGAAGGGTGAGAGCAGCTGGGTCAGGACAGGGGCTTTCGTGGGGTCAGCGCTGTGCCGTGCCTCAGTTTCCCCTCCCAGTGCTGTGGCAGGGCGGGAGCTGCTGCCACAGCTGCACCACAGATGCTGCCCGTAGGACCACACATGGCCGGGGAGGGGAGGACACGGACACCGCACCCACGTGGCACCGTGGCACCCGCCGTCCGGCTCTGCAGCCGGTGGTTAGCCTGGGCAGGCGGTGCTGATGGCTCAGCAGTAATTAGGACTCAGAGCCAGAAATAACTAACAACCCCAATGTCGGCCCATGCTGATGAGCTTGGGGAGGGAGCTGGCATTTGCAAGGTGTCCCCAGTGATTTTGGGTGCTGTCCCCCCAAATCACGCTGTGTCCCCAGGGTGGGGCCTGGGAGGGGCCGTGGGCAGCGAGGGCAGGGCTGGGGCCTTGGCTGCCCGGCCAGGGTGGGCAGGACACCCTGGGGCGACACGAGCCTGTGCTGCCTAGGTGGGGGCAGAGCTGGGAAGATGGTCACATCTCCTGAACTCCCACCTGGGCCTTCCTCTGCTGGTTCCCACCGCCTTGGTGGCATCCATCCATCCATCCATCCATCCATCCAAGCATCCTTACATCCCTCCATCCATCGATCCATGAATTCATCCACATGTGTGTCCATGCATCCATTTGTCCACAGATTCATCCACACATCCATCCTGTGTCCCTGCATCCATGCATCTGTTCTCGCATCCTTCCATCCATGCATTCGTCCACACAGGTGTCCATGCGTCCATGCATCTATGTATTCACAGATCCATCCGTCCATCCATCCATCCAATGCCACATGTCCATGCATCCATCCACACATTCATCCAGCCGCCCCCCAGGAGGAGAGCAGGAGGACCAGGCTGGGACGTTCCGTCCAGGCTGTCCCCTGGTCTCAAGGGAGGACACCAGTCACCCCAGCCATGCAAACTCCCAACCTGTGTCACCTCTGTCCCTGAGAAAGGACACCATGACCGCCTCATTGAGAGGCAGAGATTACTAAAAGGAGGAATTAATGAGGAGTTTTCCAGGCTGTGGATGCCCAGGGAGATGCAGTGCCAGCATGGATCAACACGGGAGCAAGAGAAGGTCCCATGGACCGATCCCAGGGTGGAGATGATCCTGGCAGGAGCCAACACTCAACTCTTGGTGCCAGGCTGGGGAGAAAATGGGCTCAAAAACCCCAGGGCAGGAGGTGCCTCTGGCCAGGAGGCTCAAAACCCCAGGGCTGGGAGGTGTCCAGTGCCCTGCTTGCTGTGATGAGTGTGTCAGGGCTCAGCAGGGTAGCAGGGAGGTGACCAGTGCAGGCACAGACACGCAGAGGTGCCCCCACTCAACACACAGGCCAGGAGATGAGGGACACACGGGGACAAGGCTGCAGGACAGAGATGAGGGCAGGGCAGGTCCAAGTGCCTGGCTGGATGTGGGCAGACAGTGCTCCTGGTTGATTGTCTGACTGCTGGCTGGTTGGCTGGCTGGCTCTTTGGGTGGCCAGATGGCTAGCTGGCTGGTTGGATGCATGGATGGCTCATTGGCTGGTTGCACGCTTGGCTCGAAAGTTGGCCAGTTGGCTGCCTGGGTAGCTACATGGCTAGATGACTGGTCAGCTGCTTGGCTGGCTGGTTGGGCAGCTGGCTAGTTGGCTTGAAGGCCAACTAGATGGCTGGTGGACTGGCTGGTTGGCTAGTTAGCTGGTCAGTTGGTTGGCTAGGCGGTTGGTAGCTGATTGGCTAGCTGGCAGTGTGGTTGACCAACTAGCTGGTTGGCTGGTTGGTAGATGGCTAGCCAGTTGGCTAGCTGGCTAGGTGGATTGGCTGGCTGGCTGATTGGTTGGCTAGCTGGCCAGTTGGCTGGGTGATTGCCTGGCTGGCTGGTTGGCTAGATGGCTGGTTAGCTGGCTGGCCAGTTGACCAACAGTCTGTTTGGCTAGCTGGCTCGTTGGCTGGCCAGTTGACCAACAGGCTGGCTGGCCAGTTGCCCAGTTGGCTGGTGGCTGGCCAGCGGCAGGCTGATTGGCTAGTCGGCCGGCTGGGTTAGCCCTGGCCCCGGGGACAGGGACATGCCAGCACGTCCCAGCCCAATGCCGGGCACTGTCCCTTGCCCAATGCGGGAAGCCCAGCTGCAGGCGGGGGGGGCAAGGTGGGGGTGGCATATGCCCCCCCCGTCCCTGTCCCCGTCACGCTGCCTCTCATTACAGACACGGCGGGGCCCGCCACCCTCCTGCCGCACGGCAATTAAGGGCTGCCAACACCGCTACTTAATTAGAGCCCGGTTGATGGGACCGGCTGGTGAGCGATGGGAAATGGCTGCTCGGCTGGCAGCAGGATCCAGCTGAGGGGGGGGCAGAGGGGACGGGCTCAGGGTCGTGTCCCCCCAGGGACTTGGGCTGCTGGGACCTGCTGTGCTGTCCCCAGGGTGTCCCACGG